TTTAATTGACTTTATTTGGCTTTGCATTACCCTTATAATTCCCATCAAGTCTTTCTCTTTTAAAAACTATTATTATAAGTTGACCACGACATTTTTAAGTTGTCCTTTGCAGATAAGTTCTACTTGCTGATTCACTAAGAACACTTAACCACCTTAAGAACTAAGTTAAAAGTTTTAGTGATCTCTTAACCACTGTGCCACCAGGGCTCCTAAAGGTTTATAGTAAGTTGTAAAAGGCTTTAGAGAGAGAGACTTAAGGAAAAGAGAGAGACTTAAGGGAGAGAGACTCCATGAAAAAAGATTTGGAAAGAAATAGAAGGATTAAGAAGAGAATGAATGAGAAAAAGAAAGACAAAAATAAAGGTTGAAATAAAAGAAGGTCTATGTAAGTAGCTGAAAGAGTGTAAGTAGTTGAAGGTTGTGTAAGTGAAGAAAATATGAAATATAGCTAAAATAAGAGTAACAGTAATAAGTTAAACTAAATAATTTTGAAAAGAGGCATGAAAATAATATCATAGTCAGAAAACATTAGAGCATACTACAAATCTAAAGATAATTTAAAATTAAAAGATTTAATAATGTATGAAAATCAAGACTCAGATTCTGCCTCAGAAAATGAAAGGAATGTCTAAGATATAAAATTAAAGACTAATAAAGTTCACTTTACCACAACAGCTTCAGACTGATTATAATATTAAACTCAAAATGACCATGAGCAGTGTGATTACTAGAGATAAAACAACAGTCATAGAAATAAGAGATAATATATCTAAAATATTTTTAATGCACTATCCCCTTCTATTGTGCCAAAATATAGATATATTTTAAGCTTTCTTGTTGATACTTTCACGTTTTTAAAGAAACATGTTCACGCATTGCAGATTCTAGATGCCAAATTATTCTATTAGCTGCCCCTTTTATATAAATTTTTTACATCTTAGCACCTTAGTCAGACAGCAGAAACAAGAAAACCATTTTACCTAACTTTTTACATGTTCCTGTAATATGAGACTTACGTGAAGGTTCCCACATAGGACAAGACAAAATGATTAAAATATTAGTAGAGGATCCCAAGGCTGCTGTAATATTGCTTCCCATTCCCCTGTTTGTCCCCGTTATAACCAAAGAAAACACCTTAAAGTCCTTTCCAGACAGAAATATCTTTCACAGGTTAAAAATAGTTTCTGACGGCCAGCAGCCTAACACTCAAGACCTTATTGTCCCCAGCGAATATATGTATTAGAAAAGACATCAGTTGAAAGACTCAGAACCTCGCTGGAAGGAACTCTATTTAGTCTTTCTCACTAACCTGTGTGCGGCAAAATTAAAAGAAGTCAAACCCTGAATCCATCTATCCCAACTTAAAAAGACCAAAATCCCTTCCTGGACTGTTCAGCTTACTAAAGAACTTAAGCAAAAATTCAAATGCGCTTATAACCAGAAGCAGACAACTACAGAGATAAATAGCAGATCTCAAGATCTCAAGATCCCAATCAAAACAAGACTTCATACAAGTTACTGAAATTTGTGGACTTTGCTTAGTGATCATAGCTATTCTTACGCTAGTAACCTTATTTTATACCTGTAACCTTGTTTCCTAATAATTCTGTTTTAATATGCAAACCCATTTTGGCCCTTTTTCTTCTCTGCTTAACCATTTCTTCTGATGATTGAAGAGAAAGCTTATTTGTCAAATGATTTGAACATTCTTGTCACAAAGAAATATTGTAATGATTATATTTAGACTAATCAAATTTCATATGAATTGTTTTTCTAACATTTTGTGATCAAACTCTTGTTTCCCTGACAATGCCAAGAATTATGTATCTTAAAAAAATCCAATTGTCATAAGTTATCTACCTTACTCCTAAGTTAGCCCTTTTTGAATGCCAAGTTGTTCCTCTTAATGTGGCCTTGCTCATCACAGACCCCATGCAGAAAGATCACAGAAGCAGAGTGTCTGAGCTATAGCACAGTGAAGACTAAATAACTAAATATTGCCTGGCTACCGCTTTTTAGTAAGTAGTGCCTGGGGTCTGAAAAGTTTGCAAATGGCAAGTCCTTAAAAAAACCAACCCATTGTTGTCGAGTCGATTCTGACTCATAAGGACTGTATAGGACAGGGTAGTACTGCCCCATAGTGTTTCCAAGGCTGTAATCTTTATGGAGCAGACTGCCACATATTTCTGCCATGGAGCAGCTTGTGGGTTTGAACCACTGACCTTTCAGTTAGCAGCCCAGTGCTTAACCACTGTGCCATCAGGGCTCCTCCTAAATGGCAAGTAGCCATCTAAAATTAACACAACAAAGAACTCATACAGAAGAAAACACTCTTAAAATGGTGGTCAAGGAATCCCTACAGAGAGATTCATGATCAGAAGGGGGGAGTGATAAAGAGCACTCAAAATTTTAAGGCGCTTAGTATTAATGAAGAAGCTGACAAAGGAGTAGACCAAAAATCCATTTTATTTCTGCTCCTCTTTTTCTTTGTTTAAAATTAACCTCTGTACTAGCTTCACAAGTAACAGAAAGGGGGGTAGCAAAAATATGATTATGTCTAAGCCAAGAAAAAATGTTCCAGGAAATATATGATAACATATGTTTTGCTTAAGATTGTTTTTGTTCTCTGAAATTACACAGTGAAACCATGTTTTGCTTAAAATTGTTTTCTCAGAAAGTACATATGTAAGACCACGTTTTGCTTAAGATTGTGCTAAGATCACCTCCAGGAAGATGTTTTCATATATGGAATGTATTCCTCTGAGAAATCATATGTGAAAGTCTTATGACCAGGGTTTGTCATCATTTTCTAACTATTTTACAACGTCAATCATATCCTGTAATTATTTTCAAAATATCAACCAATCCTGTGTAAAAGGCACTGTAAAAATCCAACTCCTTGAGAGCACTTGTTGTTGTTATTAGGTGCAGTCGATTTGGTTCCCACTTATAGCTACCCTGTGTACAACAGAATGAAACACTGCCTGGTTCTGCCATCCTTAGAATTGTTTTTATTCTTGAGCCCATTGTTGCAGCTACTGTGTCAGTCCATCTCCTTGAAGGTCTTCCTGTTTTTCGCTGACCCTCTACTTTACCACACATGATGTCCTTCTCCAGGGACTGGTCCCTCCTGATAACATATCCAAAGTACGTGAGATGAAATCTGGTCATCTTGCTTCTAAGGAGCACTCTGGCTGTACTCCAAGACAGACGTGTTCATTCTTCTGGCAATCCATAGTATATTCAGTATTCTTTGCTAACACCATAATTCAAAAGCATCATTTCTTCAGTCTTCCTTGTTCACTGTCCAGCTTTCACATGCGTATGAGATGATTCAAAATACTGTGGCTCCAAGAGACAGAAAGGGCCATATAAACCAGAGACTTCATCAGCCTGAGACCAGAACTAGATGGTGCCCGGCTACCACCAATGACCGCCCTGACAGGGAACACAACAGAGAGTCCCGGATGGAGCAGAAGAAAGGTGGGGTGCAGAACTCAAATTCTAGTAAGAAGACCAGACTTAATGGTCTGACTGAGACTGGAGGTACCCCAGAAAGCATAGCGCCTGGATTCTCTATCAACCCAGAACTGAAACAATTTCCGAGGCCAACTCTTCAGATAGGGATTGGTCTGGACTGTGGGACATAAAGTGATACTCATGAGGAGTGTGCCTCTTAGCTCAAGTAGATACAAGAGACTAAACAGGCAGCTTCTGTCCAGAGGTGAGATTGGAAGGTAGAGAGGATTAGGAGCTGGTTGAATGGACATGAGGAATCAGGGATGGAAAGGAGGAGTGTGCTGTCACAGCATGGGGAGAGCAATTAGAGTCACATAACAGTGTATGTATAAATTTTTGTATGGGAAAAAAAATACTGTGGCTTGGGTCAGGCGCACCTTAGTCCTCAAAGTGACATCTTTGCTTTTTAACACTTTGAAAAGGTCTTTTGCAGCATATTTGCCCAACGCGATAAGTCCTTTAATTTCCTGACTGCTGCTTCCATGGGTGTTGACTGTGGATCCAAGTAAAATGAAATCCTTGACAAGTTCAATCTTTTCTCCGTTTATCATGATGTTGCTTATTGGTCTAGTTGTGACGATTTTTGTTTTCTTTATGTTGAGATGTAATTCATACTGAAGGCTGTAGTCTTTGATCTTCATCAGTAAGTGCTTCAAGACCTCTTCACTTCCACCAAGCAAGGTTGTGTCATCTGCATATCATAGGTTGTTAATGAGCCTTCCTCCAATGCTGATGCTGCGTTCTTGTTTATATAGTCTAGCTTCTCAGATTATTTGTTAAGCATACAGATTGAATAAGTATAATGAAAGGATACAACCTGATACACACCCTTCCTGATTTTAAACCATGCAGTATCCCCTTGTTCTGTTCAAACAACTGCCTCTTGGTGTATGTACAGGTTCCTCAGGAGAACAGTTGAGTGTTCTGGAATTCCCATTCTTTGCAATGTTATCCACAATTTGTTATGATCCACACAGTTGCCTTTGTATAGTCAATAAAACACAGGTAAACATCTTTCTGGTATTTTCTGCTTTCAGCCAAAATCCATCTGACATCAGCAAGGATATCTCTTGTTCCACGTCCTCTTATGAATCCGGCTTGAACTTTTGGCAGTTCCTTGTCGATGTACTGCTGCAGCTGCTTTTGAATGATCTTCGGTAAAATTTTCCTTGTGTGTGAGAGCATTTAGCACCTTGCTTAGTGTTTTTCCCCAGCTATGGCTGCTCTGTGGCCATAGCTGCGCTTTATCCTCAATAAAAACTCTCTTGCTTTCAATTTTAAACAAATTTGTAATTTTTAGCTCTTTTACATAGTGTCAGAAGTGATTTTGAGCTCTATTACAGGTGGTTGAAAAAAATGAGATAGTGTGCTCCATAAGTCTTAGCACACAATAAGAATTCAATAAATGAGAACTGTTATTATTAAAACATTAATTAATAATAGTAACAATAACAGCCACTGTCTTTAACGCACGTTGATCTCCGCTTCGGAGACTATATTTCCCAAGATCCTCTCTGCCCGACGTCTGCAATCCATTGCATTCTGGGGCTTGTAGTACGGAAGTGAGTGACTAGTTGCTCAGAGCGCAGGCGCATTCGCGAGGATCCCCGGAAGAACCGGCAGTGGCTCCCAGGATGAGCTGGGGGCCGTGGCTGCTGCTGCTGCGGCGGTGGCGCTGACAGGATAAGAGCTCTATGCCTTTCCGTGTGCTCATCCCGGTCGGTCTCCTCTGCGCGCTGCCGCCCCTGCACCATGGTGCGCCGGGCCCTGATGGAACCGCGCCGGACCCTGCCCACTACAGGTGAAAGGAATTAGCTCCCCGCCTCTCTATAGTTGGTCGGGGGAGTGGGTAGCGCAGACCTGGTCCCTTCCTTTTCCATCCATCCCAGGACCCCCTCGGGCCCTGCTGCTGCGTTCCCGGCAGAAATTAGGTGGTGATTCCCACTTTTCGCCCTATTTCTTGTCCCTTTGCCCCAGCTGGTTTCTTTTTCTGGCCACCTGTCTTATTTCTCGTCCCTCGCACCAGGGAGCGAGTCAAGGCCATGTTCTACCACGCCTACGACAGCTACCTGGAGAACGCCTTTCCGTACGACGAGCTGCGGCCTCTCACCTGCGACGGGCACGACACCTGGGGCAGGTAGTGCGCGTGGAGGGGCAAGGGGACGGCCGGGGTCTGGCAGTCCAGTCCCAGGTAGGCGGGTTGCCTGGAGCTGGTGCCTTTATGGTCTCCTCACCGGTTCCTGAAAATCTCCCGGCCGGGGCCAGACTGTGTTCCCCCCAGTTCAGCCAGTACCAGCAGGATCCACCGATCCTCCCGGAAAGTTTTCCGCAGTGAAAAAAAGCCAAGGGTTAACCTGGCGGGCTGGATGACAGCCCCAGCGGTAACAGGCACCAGCTGTGGGCATTTGGGCAAATCTCTGGAGTCATAGAATGTCGTGGAAGGGCTGCAAGGAGTGAGAAAACCCAATCCTTCATTTTGTAGGTGGGCAAACTGAGGCCCAGGTCAGAATGTAACTCTCCCAAACATGAAAACCTAAGGGCCTTTGTAGTCGGTGTTCCCTGTAACTGAAACACACTCCCCCTCACATGACTGACTGCGTCTTGTCATTCCCATCTTAGCTCAAAATGTCACCTCCTAAGCATCAGCTCCCCAACCACTCACCCCCTACAAGATACTCTCACAAGTCACCTGTTTTATTTTCTTTGCAACACTTCGCACTCTCTGTTATTATCCTTCTCACTTAGCTCTAATGGTTTGTCTTTCTCACTTCCACTAGAACAACAGTCTATGAGAGCTGGAGTTCTCTGTCTTGTTCCTTGCTGAGTGAGTGACGAATCATTACATTAGACGAAGCGGACATTGACTGAACGCTGTACTAAGCATTTTACTTGTGTTATCACATTTTATTCTGTTAACACCCCTAGGAGTTAAATGTCGTTATCCCTGTTTTACAGATTAGTGTGTCGAGGACTACGGAAGTTAAACTCAAGAAAATTTGTGTTAATTTTTGTTTTTTAGTTCAAAAGAAGTAATACAAACAAATGACAAATGTAAACAGTACAAAATTATATACAATAAAGTAACTCCCATACTCTAGAACTCCAACCACTGTTAACTTTGTGTATCTTTCCAGAAATATTCTGTGCTTATACTGTCGTATAGGTGTATATATGTATCTTTTTAAAATTAACTTTTTAAAGGTATAATTTACATATAAAAAAATACACCCATTTTAAGTGTATGGTAACCACCGTCACCATCTAGATATAGAACATTGCTATCACACTGATAAGTTTTCTTATGCCACTTTGTAGTTAATCCCTTCCCCACCGCTGGCCCTAACAACTGCTAATATGCTTTCTATTTGTCTCTTTCTGAAAATGCAGATGGAAACATTCTACTGCCTATTCTGTACTTTGGTGGCTTTTTTTTTTTTTTCATTTAACAGTATAATTTGAATATATTTCCACTGGCAGATAGAACTCTTGATAGCAATCTTTTTGAAAACTTCATAGTTTTGCACTGTTTGAATGTACCGCAGTTTAGTTAATCACACTTCAGCTGGTGGACATTTGGGTTATTTCTAGCCTTTTGCTGTTCTAAACAATACTTTTATGAGTATCTTTAAACATACAGCTCTGAGCACTGTGGGATAAATTCCTAGATGTGGAATTGCTGGAAAGCCTGTGCTCTTAGCTATAAACTTATACTGCCTCCCTATGGCAGAGACAAATGCCAGAGACTATAGGCATTTAATTATAATTGAGATGCATCAGCCCACTCTGCCAGGTGCATTAAGTGGGTCAGAGGTTCTTGGCGGCTTTTATTGTGGCTTCTCTGTTGTTACTGCAAGTGGGATGGGTGTGACTGTACCTCACTTATAGTTTCTGGGAGATCTGTTCTGGAGAAGCCTTGATATCTGGTGTTTGATTTTCTTAATAAGCAACTGAGATTTCTGTCCTTTTACAGTTTTTCTCTGACACTGATTGATGCTCTGGACACCTTGCTGGTAAGTGTCTCGTCTGTTCTAGTTCCTCTCCACCATTACATAACCAACGTCTTTCTTCTGGCAGCCTGACCGTGGGTGAAAAGTAAATTCTTCCCTCAGGCTTTTTATTTTCATCTCGTGATTCTGAACCTTCAGGCTCTGGTTACCCAACTAGACAGGGGAAAATGATAAATTCCAACTTATTCAGGTTCATTCATTTAGCAGACATTTATAGAGGACCTGTTATGTACATAGAACTGTGATGTTGTTGTTAGTTGCCATCAAGTTGATTCTGACTCATGGTGACCCCATGTGTACAGAATAGAACTGCTCCATAGGATTTTCAAGGCTGTGAAAGTAGAAGTAGATCACCAGGCCTGTCTTCTGAGGTGCCTCTGGGTGAGTTCTAACTGCCTTTTGTGTTCATGGAAATGTGATAGGCCTATATAACTCTGTGGGGGGTAGAGACTTCGATACTTCCCTTGTTTTCAAGGATTTTACATTGTAGTAGACGTGTTCAGTAATGATAAAATAGTAACTGCTTAACATGTTATGTATAAGGCTTTTGCTAAGCACTTTACATGTATTTTTTAATCCTGCCAACCACCCGGATTCCTCTTTCAGCTAAGAAATATGATGCTTAGAAAGGTGAAATGACTTGGCAGGGTCCCACAGCTATAAATGGCAGAGGTAGAACCGAACTCAATTCTTTGTGACTCTAAGCCTTAACCATCATCTTAAAAAGGCCATAAGAGAGGATTAACATCTTTCCCCTTATATCCCTATTTCTGGTTCTCTGTCTCCCCTTGTCATTTTTATATATTTATATACTTACATGATTATAATCACTACATAGATATAATTTGCCTTGCTTTTTTTTTTTTTTTGCCTAATGCTAATTTTTTTTCTTATCTGTTCATCAAATATTTATTGAGGGCCACCTGTGTACCAGGCACAGTGCTGAGCTCTTTAGTTATAATGGTGAGTTTAAACAGACATGGTCCTTGCTCTTCTGGAGTTTATGATTTTAGTGACAGAAACAAACAAAGAATAACCCTAAATAATGTATAATTACAAATTGAGGTGAGTGTTCTGTAGGAAATGACCATGGTTCTGTGGGTGATTGTGACAAAGGAATCTGACCTAGACTGAAAGAGGTCAGGGAGGGCTTCCTGGAGGTAGTGAAATGTTATTTGAGTTGGGATCTGAAATGTTGACTAGGGGAGGAGGGAGGAAAGAATGTTCCAGGCAGAGGGAACAGCCTATGCAAAGGCCTGGTGGCAGGAGAGAACATGGCAAGTGCAGTGAACTGAAGGAAGGTCAGTGTGGCTGATGTGGAGAAAGAAGGAGGTAAAGAGAGGCTGGAGGGGTAGATGGGGACCAGATGATGCAAGCCCTTGTTTACCGCATTAAGGATTTTGATCTTTAATTTGAGAACAATGGAAAGCCTCTGAAATTTCTTAAGTAGAAGGTAGAAAATGATGAGATTTCTGTTTTGAAAAGATCACTGGCTGCAGTGTGAAGATAGACTCATATAATCGTTTATAAACATTTATTGAGTGATTGCTTCAGGGGCTGTACTTAGCACTCTGGAGAGAGAGAGAGATGAGTGAGGATCTTGCCCATGCAAAAATTCCCTTAATGTAGAAAGAAATAGATTCCCTAGAGTTGTATAGATTAAGTTCTAGGAAGAGGTGGGTGATTTCAGCTGGACAACCAAAGGCTTTCTAGAGAAGATGACATTTAGACAATTGAAGATGGTTTGGATTTGGAAATGGGAAGATATAGGAAAGAGGGATTTCTGGCAGGGGGAGCAGCATGTCTGAAGAGAGGAAACTGAGGAATAGTGGGGACAGTTCTGCTGAAGTAGATGAAGATAAAACAATGAGAGACATGGCTGGAAAGGTAGGATGGGTCCAAATCACAGAGGGCCTTGAATGCTGGACTAGTCAGAATTTGTGTGTGTGTGTGTGCTTTAAATGAAGGTTTACAGTTCAAGTTAGTTTTTCTCATGCAAAAATTTATACACACACTGCTAGTTGCTCTCCCCATACTGTGACAGCACACTCCTCCTTTCCACCCCAGATTTCCCATGTCCATTCAACCAGCTCCTGTCCCTTTCTGCTTTCTCATCTCACCTTTGGACAGGAGCTGCCCATTTAGACTCATGTATCTACCTTGAACTAAGAAGCACACTCTTCACAAGTATCATTTTATGTCTTATGTTCCAGTCTAATCTTTGTCTGAAGAGTTAGCTCAGGAATGGTTTTAGTTTTGGGCTAACAGAGAGTCTGAGGGCCGTGTCTTCTGGGGTCCCTCCAGTCTCAGTCAGACCATTAAGTCTGGTCTTTTTACTAGAATTTGAGTTCTGCACCCCACTTTTCTCCTGCTCCGTCAGGGACTCTCTGTTGTGTTCCCTGTCAGGGCAGTCATTAGTAGTAGCCGGGCACCATCTAGTTCTTCTGGTCTCAGGCTGATGGAGTCTCTGTTTTACGTGGCCCTTTCTGTCTCTTAGGCTAATATTTTCCTAGTGTCTTTGGTGTTCTTCATTCTCCTTTGCTCCAGGTGGATTGGGACCAATTGTTACATCTTAGATGGCCACTCCATAGCTTTTAAGACCCTAGATGCCACTTACCAAAGTGGGATGCAGAACCTGTTCTTAAACTTTGCTATACCAGTTGACCTAGATGTCCCCTGAAACCATGGTCCCCAGACCCCCACTCCTGCTACTCTGTCCCTCGAAGTGTTTAGTTGTATTCAGGAAACTTCTTAGCTTTTGGTTTAGTCCAGTTGTGCTGACTTCGCCTGTATTGTGTGTTGTCCTTCCCTTCACCCAAGATAATTCTTGTCTACTATCTAGTTAATGGATACCCCTCTCCGTCCCTCCCCACCCTCGTAACCATCAAAGAATGTTTTCTTCTGTGTTTAAACCTTTTCTTGAGTTCTTACAATAGTGGTCTTGTACAATATTTGTCCTTTTCGACTAACTAAATTCGCTCAGCATAATGCCTTCCAGATTCATCCATGTTATGAGATGTTTCACGGATTCATCGTTATTCTTTATCATTGTGTAGTATTCCATTGTGTGAATATACCATAATTTGTATATCCATTTATCCATTGATGGGCACCTAGGTTATTTCCATCTTTTTGCTATTGTGAACAGTGCTGCAATGAACATGGGTATGCATATATCTATTCGTGTGACAGCTCTTATTTCTCTAGGATGTATTCCAAGGAGTGGGATTGCTGGATTGTATGGTACTTCTATTTCTAGCTTTTTAAGGAAGCGCCAAATTGATTCCAAAGTGGTTGTACCATTTTACATTCCCACCAACAGTGTATAAGTGTTCCAGTTTCTCCACAACCTCTCTAACATTTATTATTTTGTGTTTTTTGGATTAATGCTAGCCTTGTTGGGGTGAGTTGGTATCTCATTGTAGTTTTGATTTGCATTTCTCTAGTGGCTAATTATTGTGAGCATTTCCTCATGTATCTGTTAGCCACCTGAATGTCTTCTTTGGTGAAGTATCTGTTTGTATCCTTTGCCCATTTTTTAATTGGGTTATTTGTCTTTTTGTTATTGAGGTTTTGCAGTATCTTGTAGATTTTAGAGATTAAACCCTGATCAGATTTGTTGTAGCCAAAAATTTTTTCCCAGTCTGTAGGTTGTCTTTTGACTCTTGATGAGTGTAAGTGTTTGATTTTCAGGAGCTCCCAGTTAATCTAGTTTCTCTTCTGGTGTTTGTGCATTGTTACTTACGGTTTGTATTCAGTTTATGCCATGTATTAGGGCTCCTAGTGTTGTCCCTATTTTTTCTTCCATGATCTTTATTGTTTTAGATTTTATATTTAGGGCTTTGATCCATTTTGAGTTAGTTTTTGTGCATGGTGTGAGGTGTGGGTCTTGTTTCAGTTTTTTGCAGATGGATGTCTAGTTATGCCAGCACCGTTTGTTAAAGAGACTGTCTTTTCCCCATTTAACAGACTTTGAACCTTTGTCAAATGTCAACTGCTCATAGGTAGATGAATTTATATCTGGATTCTCAGTTCTGTTCCATTGGTCTACGTATCTGTTACTGTACCAGTACTAGGCTGTTCTAACTACTGTGATGGTATAATAGGTTCTAAAATCAGGTAGTGTGAGACCTCTTGCTTTGTTTGTCTTCTTCAGTAATTCTTTACTTATTGGGGGCCTCTTCCCTTTCCATATGAAATTGGTGATTTAGTCAGGATTTTTTTGATTGCAAGTCACGAAGACCCAATCAAATTGATTTAGACAAGAAGGAAATTTACTGAGTCACATAACTAAAAAGTCCAGATAGAGGCCTGGCCTCAGACATAGCTAGATTCAGACATACAAATGATGTCATCAGGAATCTTTCCATCTCTTGTCTCTGCCTTTGCTGGCTATGTTCTCGGGCTGTCCTTAAACTGGCAGGGTAGCCGACAGTAGCTACAGACTTAAATCCCACTCATTTAGTAACTGTATGTATAAAGAAACACCCTTTTTCCATTAATTCCAGGCAAAGTCCCTGGATTGAGTCTCATTGATCTAACTTGGGTTATGCACTGGTCCATGAACCAATCACTCGCCAAGGATTTGGTGCTCTGGCTGGTCCAGGTCAAGTGCCCACTCCTACAGCTGGAGGGATGGATTCAGCCTCACCCAAGCCACAAGAGTGACTGTGGAAGAGGGTTGATTTCCCAAAGGAAATTTGGGACACCATTACCAGAGGAAAGGTGTTAGGATTGCGTTTGGTTGCAAGTAACAAAATGCCTGACTAATGATGGCTTAAAGAAAACCAAACCAAACCCGTTGCCGTTGAGTCAATTCTGACTCACAGCAACTCTGTAGGACAGAGTAGAACTGCCCCATAGGGTTTCCAGGGAGCAGCTGGTAGATTTGAACTGCTAGCCTTTTGTTTAGCAACCAAGCTTTTAACCATTATGCCACCAGGGCTCCAAGTAACAGAATGTCTGAAGATAATTTCTGGCATTGGGTCAGCTGCTCAACCATAGCATCAGAGATCCAGTCTCTTTCTGTCTTTCCATTCTGCCATACTTAGTGTGTTGACTTTCATTCTCATGCTTGGTACCTCATGGTCACAAGATGGCTGCCACAGCTCTAGAAATTGAGTCTGCTTTCAAGGCAGAAAGAAGGAGGAAGGGTAAAAGCCATGCCAGCTATGTCTCTTCCTTTTTATTAGGAAAACAGAAGCTTTTCCAGAAGTGTCCTCACTAGACTTCTCAAGGGTCACAACTGGGTTACACAGTCACTTTTAGCTTCAGAGGAAGCTAAGAAAGCAAGCATCTGGGTTTGTAGCCTGTGTGGTGGGAGGCTGTAAGAGTAAAGAAGGTTGGGAATTAGTGTTGGGCTAACCCATCTGTAATGTTTCTCACAAGAATGAATGTTGTAAGAGAAGGTTAAAAACAACAGCTGTCCACTGCAACGGCCAAACCAGGGTATTATTATATGGACTGAAGTCTTTATATTGTGTCCATTTAAATGGATACATAATGGATCTTAAATAGGAACCTAGGAATTTACTTAATCAGTCTCTTGATGTTGGGTCTCTGGGTGATTTGTGGCTCTCAGTGTTTTCTTCCCCTGTTACCAGTCCTAGGACAAAAATTAGAGGTCTTAAGTTGAATAAGTGAGGCACACATCAGCATAGAATCCCAAACTCTGGGCCTCCAAGCCTGAGAGAGCCTCACTGTCAGGTCTGTCTTTCCTTCCAGATTTTGGGGAATGTCTCAGAATTCCAAAGAGTGGTTGAAGTGCTCCAGGACAATGTGGACTTTGATATTGATGTGAACGCCTCTGTGTTTGAAACCAACATCCGAGGTAAGGGTTGTCTTCTAGGGCCTTTGGAAGAAAAGAGGATGTGAACTTTCCTCTGTGTGACCTGAGAGGTGGTAAATAGAATCTTAAGGGCTAACCCTGCCAGGGTATTTGGCCAGAGCCAGTGACTGACAGAGCTCTTCTTCCCTCATGAAGGGTGGGGTGGGGTGGGGTGGGGAGGTCTTAGAATCCACCAAATGGCAACTATTTTTTTTTTAATATTGTATTATAAATTAAAATAGATAAATTAATAAAATGAAGGTAATTATTACTCTGTCCCCACCCACCTAAGTCTTGAGTGACAGAGTTGAATGAACATGAGATTTGGAGTCAGACGGAATAGGTGACTGCAGGCAAGTCACTTTACCTCTTTGAACCCAAGTCTCTTCATCTGAAGAGGGGGTCAGTGATACCTATCATAAGGTTTTTAAGATTAAGTGAAATAACACATGTGGTTACAGGTATTGTGTACCAGCTTAGTGCCTGGTACACAGTAAAGACTAAAGAAAAATGATGGCTATTGTTCTAGTGACCCACCAAGAAAAAACTTTCTAAACTTAGCACTGTATAAATGTGTGGTTTTAAAGGTCTCCTCTTTCCCTAGGTAGCTCTAGCCCCATCCCAGTGTTGTTGTTAGAAGCCATCGAGTTAGTTCCGACTCACAGCGACACTGTGTACACAGAATGAAACACTGCCCGGTCCTGCACCATCCTTACAGTCGTTGTTATGCTTGAGCTCATTTTTACAGCCACTGTGTCAATCCATCTCATTGAGGGTTTTCCTCTTTTTCGCTGACCGTTTACTCTGCCAAGCATGATGTCCTTCTCCAGGGACTAGTCCCTCCTGGTAACATGTCCAAAGTACATGAGATAAAGTCTCGCCATCCTCACTTCTAATGAGTGTTCTGGCTGTACCTTTCCAGTGAGCCACCCCCAACAGAGTGTTCAGGTTCAGTTTGCACGAGGAAAGAATTGATCCTAGGGATGGTGACACTTGTTGTTGGTATTGTCTGTAGTGGTAGGAGGCCTCCTATCTGCTCACCTGCTGTCAAAAAAGGCTGGGGTGGAAGTGGAGGCTGGATGGCCCTGCTCTGGACCCCTCCTGAGGATGGCCGAGGAGGCAGCCCGAAAACTCCTCCCAGGTAAGAGCTACACAGAGATGGGGGAGAGATGAAATCCAGTAGGTCACTCTTTTCTTGCTGGAGATGAAAGCGGCAGTGTTGAATTATTTCCTGGTGTTTCTCACCCAAACATTTGGCATTTGTACTCCTAGGCCCACTGTGGAAATCAAGAAAGTCGTGGGCATTTTGAGGGCTTGCTTGGGCCCTGGCCCAGGATGGAAGAGCTGACCTTATCACTTTTTGCAAGGCAGGGGAGAGGGGTCCCTGAAGGTCAGCCTGGTGGGTAGAAGGCCCTTGCCTTATTTTGCTGCCTTCCAGCCCCACACACTGTTAGAATAAAAGGGCCCCAGGGAAGGCCTTGGACTGAGTACTAGGAGTCCTGTGTTCTAGACTCGCCTCTGCCAACCAACATCTCCACCAAGGCACTCTTTCTCCACGGTTCACTTTTCTCATCTATCAGATCGGAATCACCCTTCCTGCCTCCCTGCCTCATCTGGTTGCTGGCAGGCTAGAATGGATTCAGAGGGGAGAAGGTGCTCGGAAAACTTCAAGCACTATTGAAATGAGAGGGGTTTGTTTTGTGGCTAAGCTGTGTCCAGGGCTACAGAATAAGCCTCAGTGTGTTTGTCTAGAGAGCTAGTACACTGGGCTCAACAGCATAAACTGGACACTGTTCCATTCAGGGTGTGGTGGAGGCTCTGAGGGCTGTTCACACCCAAACACTTCACGATATGCTTTCCAACAGCATCTCAGCCATCTCACTTGTCCCTTTCCCTTCTGCACTTGCCTCTCGTCTTCGGGGAAGAACTGAGGAGAGTGAGTGAGCTGGGTTCTGGTCTCATTTACGGCTCATGGCATGAATGTCTCCTTGCAGACATCATGTCCTGTGTGATTCATTTCTTGAGGGATGGTTGCGCCCTTGTTTATTTTTTGTTATCATTAAAAAAAATCGTATTGAGAAATATAAGGCTGTATGTCTTTATGGAAGCAGACTGCCACATCTGTCTCCTGCGGAGCGGCTGGTGGGTTCAAACCACCAACCTTTTGGTTAGCAGCCAACTACTTTAACCACTGCACCACCAGGCCTCCTTCACTGAGAAATATATGTACTGAAAAGTGCACAGCATATAATTATAAAGCAGTCACCGGTGTATCTACCATTTGGGTCAAGAAATGTTTGTCACTCCCCTTCTTTTTAACACTGCCTGACTTTCCCGAGATGTTCCTTTGAGCCCTTCTTGGGTGTGACTCACATTCCCCTTGCTTGCTGCTCGCCCCAACCAGATAGCAAGTTTCTCATCTGCAGCAGACAGAGTTGCTGGACCTCGTAATTCTTGGACGTTTGACAGCCTTGTTTGGTGATGCACAGACTGCTCTGGGGTAGTTTGACCTTTTGGCCGGGCAAGGAAATCTCTGTCTCTGGCTGGTTGTTGAGTTCCTTGCCTTGAAAAGGAAGGTACTGGAGTAGGGTGGGCAGAACCTTGGGCTGGGGGAGGCAGACGTTCCCATCCCAGCCGGGTTTGGCTCTCTCTCTGTGACCTTTGGCTGAATCACTGTACAGCCATAACTTTCCCTACCTATAAGCTGAGGGTTAGACTGCATCAATGGTTTATATCTTTTTTTTTTTTTTTTTTTAAATATGTAGCCCCTAAACTCTTCATTTAAAGTAGGAATCTCAAACTGCCTTCTATGGGGCTGTCTAGGGCCTGCAGATATGTTTTATTTGGTCAACATGGCATTTAAAAAAATATATATGAATGGCTTCTAATGGGAGTGCTCTCATATTAGTGTGCCCCAAGCCCCCCCCCCCCCATGGCTTATATGTTGCCTGCTTCACACCAAGTTACCTGCCTGGCCACTGAGGGCATAGTATAAAATAAATAAAAGCACTGCTCTAGGTAAGTAAGGATATATAGAGTATGATGACCTAGATCACAGCCTACTCCATGCCCCCTTGTCACAAGCAAGAACCCAGGGGTCATGCAGGGCAATGTTTGATAGCATCTGTCTTAGCTATCTAGTGCTGGTATAACAGAAATACCACAAGTGGATGGCTTTAACAAATAGAAATTTATTTTCTCACAGTTTAGGAGACTAGAAGTCTGAATTCAGAGCGCCGGCTCTAGAAGGCTTTCTTTCTGTTAGCTCTGAAAGAAGGTCCTTGTCTCTTCAGCTTCTGCTTCCTGGTTCTTTGGAGATCTGCATGTGCCTTGGCATCCATCTTATCCCATCTCTCCTCTGCTCGCTTGTTTAATCTTTTATATCTCAAAAGATATTGACCAAAAATGCACCCTATACTAATCCTGTCTCATTAACATAACAAAGACAACCCATTCCCAAATGGGATTATAACTACAGGCATAGAGGTTAGGATTTACAATACACATTTTGGGGGGACATAATTCAATCTATAACATTCCATCCTTTGGCCCCCCCAAAAATCATGTTGTTGCCACACTTAAAACACATTCACCTCATCATATCATCCCAGAAGTCTTAAGTCAACTCCAAGTCCAAAATCTCATCTTCTGAATCATCTAAATCAAATATGGGTGAGACCTTAGCCATATTCTATCCTGGGGAAAAATTCCTTTCCATCTGTGAACCTGTGAAATCTAGAATACAAGTTATCTGTTTCTAAAGTACAATGGTGGAACAGGCACAAGGTGGACATTGCCATTGTAAATGGGAGAAATTGGAGGGTAAGAAGGGATAACAGGCACCAAGCAAGTCCAAAACCCAGCAGAACAAGTTACATTAGTTCTTAGCGCTTGAAAATAATCCTCTGTCTGAGACCATCTGGGCAATGGCCTCACCCTCCAGACTCTGGGTGTTGGCCACGCCTCTGGATTCTAAGTGGAGACCCCCCCCGCTCCCCTCACAGGCCTGGGCTTCAGCTCCACCTTCCAGGCCCTCTGGGATGGCAACTCTGCCCCCTGGTCTTTAGCCCCATTCTCCTAGTCCATCTGAGTGGCGATCTTACCCCCTCAGCCCTGGCAGATCCTGTTCTCTGCCCCTGGGCATGGCAGCTCTACCTTCTCAGCTTTGGGTGGCAGCCCCATCCCCCGGCACACCTTAACGGCAATCCCGTTCCTGGTACCAAATTCTGTCTTACCTGTCTAGTCCTACTATAACAGAAATACCACAAGTGGGTGGCTTTAACAATCAAATTTATTTTCTCACGGTTTAGTAGGCTAGCAGTCCGAATTCAGGGTGCAGGCTCTAGGGGAAGGCTTTCTGTCTTTGTCGGCTCTGGAGGAAGGTCATTGTCTCTTCCGAGCTTTTGCTCCTGGGTAATCTTTGTGTGGCTTGACATCTCTCCCATTCTCTGCTTCCTAGCTTGCTTGTTTAATCTCTTTTATATCTCACAGGAGATAGATTTAAGACACACCCTACGCTAATTCTTGTCTTATTAACATAACAAAGACAACCCATTCCCAAGTGGGATTATAACCACAGGTATAGAGGTTGGGATTCACAACACATATTTTTTGGGGATACAATTCAATCCATAACAGCATCTGAGTTAGATGGGTGCTAAAGGCCCTCCAGGGTCTCTGTGTGGTGCAAACAGTTTCCACTTGACTCCTAACCTAAAGATTAGAGGTTCACACCTATCCAGTGGTGCTTCAGAAGGAAGTCCTGGTGATCTGCTTCTATAATGATTACAGCTATTGAAAACCTCATGGAGCCGTTCTACTCTGTAATACGTGGGGTCACCATAAATCAGAATTGACTCAAGGGCAACAGATTGGTTTTTTTTTTTTTTAAAGGCCCTTCGGTTGTAATATTTATCCTACTCTGGCTCAGACTGGACCCTCTTTCCTCATTGTGGTCTCAGTGTCTAGAAGATCACCCAGGAGATGAAGAAGGAAATGCTGCCTGAGGCCTTAGGCTTTGGGCCTGTATTGAAACCATCTCTACCCCCCGGTTCCTAAGTTTGTGATTGTTCAGCCTTTCAGACCCCTACTGGCATGCCGTATGGGACCGTGAACCTGCTTCACGGCGTGAACCCGGGAGAGACCCCAGTCACCTGTACAGCAGGGATCGGGACCTTCATTGTAGAATTTGCCACCCTAAGCAGCCTCACTGGTGACCCCGTGTTTGAAGATGTGGCCAGGGTAGCACTAACACGCCTCTGGGAGAGCCGGTCAGATATCGGGTTGGTAAGTCAGCAGCCGCCCTTCCTGTTTGAGTCAAGTCAGCCACCTTGGCCCCTGCTTATGAGGGCCAGGGCTCTGAGTAACAAGTTGCAATCCAGCCAAGAGAAACTTAGGGTGACCTCAGGAGTGTCTCAGCCCACTGAAAATAGACCAAGCCCCCACTGAAAGTTTTGGCAGAGGGGAAGGGAGCATGAGAGTACATCCTCTAGCAGGGAGAAGAGGCCTGTGTTAAGCTGTCACTCTTTAAGCTTTTCTGATTTCTAGGGAGTGGGTTGTATGCTTTACGCCCCTGACTCACTGGGAAACCTTCAATAGTCATTCTGTCTGGCCCTCATTTTTTAGTGTCTATTTGTGTTTGCAAAACTGTTTTCTTAGAGAATCTGAGAGAATTTGAATGGCTCTACCAGCTGAAAAAAATGGTTCCTGGCTTATTAAGTTTGGAAAATGCTACATGTAATATATTTTTTATGGAGAGTCACAGTGAACATGAAAGGATTAAAGTTATGAAATCCTATGGTAAAGAAATTTATTTAATGTGGTTTAACTCAACATTTCCCAAACTTATTTGACCCCAGAGCTTCCCTTTCTCCTCATAATATCTATTAATCTATAGAAATTGAACACACTTTGGACCAGATGATCTCTAAGGTTGGTTTCAGCTCCATCTGGGAAAGGGACCTTTTCTTGCTGAGGGTCTACCCCTGGGGGAACCCAGACTAACACAGAACAGATAGCTATTTCTTTGGTTGAGCACCAGATGAGGTTATCAGCTTTCAAGAGCTGATACCCAGTTTCTCTTGGAAACAACTACTCTCACAGTTTGTTGGGTGTCCTTCCTGAGTTAATTTATGGATATATATAAAATATGTTTTTTATCTTTAGACACTGGAGTCACATGCAGAGTGGTGAGAAGTTTTAGAAGTCTGAGACAGATTTTGGGAACAACAAGTTCTTATCTTCTGTCTCTCACACTCACTCCAGGCAGTGTGTAAACCCTCTGAATTCTCTTTTTCAGGTTTTGCCCAATGTATATAATTAAATCAGCATAAATCCTAGGCAGCTCGCCTCCAGCCTTGTCCTCTTTTATCCTGCATGTCCTTCCAGGAAACACTGGGGTGCCAGCTGGCATCTCACTAGGCAGTCGGGGGAATGGGGAGCGTCTTCTTTGGCTTTGGGCCTTCCAGTGGGACCAATTTTTCTCTCCCAGGTTGGCAACCACATTGATGTGCTCACTGGCAAGTGGGTGGCGCAGGACGCGGGCATCGGGGCTGGTGTGGATTCCTACTTTGAGTACCTGGTGAAAGGAGCCATCCTGCTTCAGGATAAGAATCTCATGGCCATGTTCCTAGGTAAGAAGGGCAGGGCAAGGGCTTTCCCATGATTTTTTCTGCTGAAGTGTGATTTGTTTGTTTATAAGCTTTCAATTGCTCCCAAGTGCCTACAGAATACATTCTGAGTATCCAAGTCTGCATTCAATGGACTTACACTGCCCACTTGATGCCCACTAAACCTCTTTGTCCTTCTTGCAACAGCCAGCTGAACTATGCTGTATTCTGTATACATGGCCCTGGATTTCTTATCTCCTAGCCATTGTACGTGGTGTTTCTTTGCTTAGAATACCTTTTTCCCTGTCTCCATATGTCCAAATTCTATCCACCCTTCAAAGCCCAGCTTAAATGTTACGTTGTCCAGGAAGTAGCTTGATCCTTCATTAGAATTTAGGGCCTTCAGCATCTGCCTTCCAGTCAGCTGTTGTCAGTAATCACAGCTCTACCATTTGAGTGCAGAATCCTATTCTTTTTCATCTTTACATTTCCCACAATGCTTTGTATGAAACAGGTAGTAGATTAATGTTTGTTGAATAAGTATATTTTACCCTCAAGACCCTTAGACACTGATAGTAATAATATATTGAGAAATTATTGAGTACCTAATAATAATTATTTTAGCTAACATTCATTTATTCAGCAAATATTTATAGTGTACCAAGCACAGTGTCAAGCACTGTGCCAAATGCTGAATATGGATTATTTCCTTTAGTTCTTATAACATGACTCGAAGTTATCTTGTTTATTTATGTACATGCATATATGGTACTTGGTTCATTCAGATAACGTTCATTGAGAAGGCAGGAAGGGACAGGAAAACTGTGCAAATGGAAACAGGGAACCTAGGGTGGAGAAGGGGAGAGTTTTGACTCATCACGGAGTTGGCAAGCAATGTCACAAAACAATTTGTGTATTAACTGTTTAATGAGAAACTAATTTGATATGTGAACTTTCACCTAAATCATAATAATAAAAAAAAAAAGATAATATTTACTGAGCATATACCATGTGCTAGGTACTATCCTAGTGCTGGGGATCCAGTAGTGAACAAAGTCCCAGCCCTCAATGATTTATAATCTAGGGAGGAGGTACAAGTTCAAGGTCCCACTAGAACGTAAGTTCCATGAGGGCTGGGCTTTGTTTTGTTTACCACTGCCTAGGTGCATAGTGAATATTTGTTGAGCGAATCAATCAATGAATGGATGAACAACCTCATGAGATAAGTGACATTACTGTCCCCATTTTGCAGATAATAAGACTGAGGCTCCAGAGGGAAAACTTGTATAAGTTCACAGCTAGCAAGTAGTAAAGCTGGACCTGAAATTTGAGCCTGGAAGTTTGATTCTAGAGTCCATGCCCATTCCTCTGCCTCATTGCGTCCTTCTCTGCTTTGAGGCCAGACCATAATATGATCTTACAAAAGTGCAAGCCAGTGCTTTTGTTGACAAAGCCTGCCTCTTGTCTCCCTAATCTCCTCCACTACAGAGTATAACAAAGCCATTCGGAATTACACCCGCTTCGATGACTGGTACCTGTGGGTGCAGATGTACAAGGGGACTGTGTCCATGCCAGTCTTCCAGTCCTTGGAAGCCTACTGGCCTGGTCTTCAGGTAGGAACGGTCAGAAAAGGTGGTCATTTTTCTATGGAGTTGACAAAACAAGTCATTCTGTTGTATAAGTCAAATAAGTACTTTACTTGCTTGAATACACTGTTTTGGAGGGTTGGGCTGGGGACGGAGGAGAGACTTGAATTAGACAGAATTAAGATTTGGCCAGGCTTTTTTCTGAGGGGAGCTTTAAGATGACAGGAACTGAGTTTCCAGTTCGCTATGAAATATTATCCCACTTAAAATGAAGTAGACAGTGTCTTTCCAGGCTGGGCAGTAACAGTCATGGCAACAGCTATTTCTCTGCTAGGCACTTCTGTCAAATCTCCTCATTCTTGACAGCGGGCATGAGAAGGGGCAGGAGTGAAGCTTGTGCTGTTCTGCCTGCCATCGTTACTTTTTTCCGTTACATAGCCAAATGGAGGTGCTGCTGAAAATGACCTTAGAAGCTGTTTGATCCACCCCCTAACCCATTGCTGTGGAGTTAAATCTGACTCATAGCAACCTTATAGGAAGAGTATAACTGCCCCATAGAGTTTCCAAGGCTGTAAATCTTTATGGAAGCAGACTGCCACATCTTTCTCCTGCAGAGCAGCTGATAGTTTCCAACTGCCAACCTTTTGGTTAGCAGCCAAGTGCTTAACCACTGTGCCACCAGGGTTCCTACATCCACCCCCTAAAAAAAAACCCATTGCCATCAAGTCAATTCCAACTCATAGGGACCGTATAGGACAGAGTAGAACTGCCCCATAGTGTTTCCAAGGAGCGCTGGATGGATTCGAACTGCTGACGTTTTGGTTACCAAAATATTTTTGTACCAAGACATTTTATATACTAATATGTCTTTATAAACTAGGTTTTGTTTTTTTTTTTTTTCATTTTAAGAAAAGGTAATAACATGTACGTGATGTTAAATTTAAAAAGCTCAAAAGAGAATACAGTGAAGAGTAAGTCTTGAGCCTCCACCCTCAGACCGTCTCCCCTGGGGCAGCCTCTATTATCAGTGTCCTTCCAAAAGTCCATATACATAAATTTCTGTGTATTTACATCCCTCTTTTTCTTTATGTAAATAGAAACATAATATTCTTTTTCAGCTTTTGTTTTTACTAAATATATCTTGGAGATCATTCTTTATCAATACATGTAGATCAGTTTTATTTTTCTTTAATGGCTACATAGGGACCAGTCCCTGGAGAAGGACATCATGCTCGGTAAAGTAGAGGGTCAGGGAAAAACAGGAAGACCCTCAATGAGATGACTTGACACAGTGGCTACAACAGTGGGCTCAAACACAGCAACGATTGTGAGGATGGCTCAGGACTGGGCAGTGTCTTGTTCTGTTGTACATAGGGTCACTATGAGTTGGAACTGACTCAACGGCACCTAAACAACAACAACAACATATATTCTATTGAATAGATATACTGTAATTTATTTTAAGGTGCCCTAGTGGTGCAGTGGTTAAAGCACTCAGCTGCTAACTGAGAGGTCGGCAGTTCAAACCCACCAGCCGTTCCACATGAGAAAGTGGCAGTCTGCTTCCTTAGAGATTTATAGTCTTGGAAACCCTATGGGGCAGTTCTGTTCCATCCTGTAGGGTCACTGAGTCAGAATCAACTGGATAGCAATGGGTTTGGTTTGGTTTTTTAAATTATTTTTCTAGTCCACCATTAATGTACTTTTAACTTGTTGTGTGCTGTGGAGTCAGTTCCGATTTATGGGGACCCAATAAGACAGAGTAGAACTGTCCATAGGGTTTCCAAGGAGCGCCTAGCGGGTTGGAACTGCTGACCTTTTGGTTAGCAACCAAACTCTTAACCACTACGCCACCATGGTTTGCAAATGTAAATTTAATATGTTTTAAAATTTTCTGTGACCATGAGACTCTGAGTATTAAGTTTATTTTGTGTTTCGTTATAATTAAATGTATTAGTATGTAAATGATTAAAACAACATAAATATTTTCCAGTTTTGATAAATAATAATTATAAAATCTAAGCAGTTTTATTAGAAATGTATTTCTTAGGCTTTTGGGACTTTTTAATACGTTTATGTATTTGTTTATGATTATTACTTATTAATATGAGACATGGTTAAGCATCAATTTTATTCCTGCTTTTCATTTTTATAGATATTAGCACTGAGGAGCCTTATTCTCATAAATAAAGAGATGGAAGTAGGAGTTTGATTGTTACCATATCATTCAGTTCTTTGAAACCATTCAGCGTTAGTAGATTGAGCCCTATAAAATTGTCGGTATTCAACCATTTTTGACCCATAAAAGGGAATATCAGATGGTTCAACCTTTATCTGGTAAAAAAAAAAATCACAAAATGGTCTGTCGTCAGAAATTGTTTTTAATGATCTCTCTGCTTGACAGCGTGACCCCCTTCAGTTTTTTGAAAGCAGAGGATTGGAAACCACTTATTTGCAAAAGGATTTGTTACCTAGTGGTTAGAGCCATTCATTTTCTCAACATTTACACTAATATTTTAAATTTAACCTAGTTTAGTGCTCAGGAAGTTTTTATACCCCAGGACAGTGTTCCATAGTAAGGTTAGAGATAGGTATGCCTTGCTTTTGTAAAATGGCAGAAAGGCAGTTGTGAAAAGGACGTGGGGCAGAGAGCCTGCCTCTGGGTTACAAGCATGTTTTTAAGCAGATCTATTTTAGGAAAGTTGAGGATCTGGAAATTTATTTCCTTAAAACTTTTTGTGACTACATTCCTCTTGGAAAACCTTCTTGTACAGCCCAGCTGTAAATTGACCTCACCCTTTGACCCTGCATGTTTCCATTTCTGTGCATGTTTTCCAAGAAAATAGTTCAAGAGGAAAAGACATAACCTGTATATGGATATTGCTAGCAGCAAAACTCTTGACAAAGAAAAACTGGAAATGATCCAAATGCTTGATAATGGAGGAATGAATAAATGATTGCATTTTAATTGCAATCTATTGTTATATACCTTTAAGTAAAAAAAATAATAAATATGTAAACTCCTTTGTTACATGAAATAGTAAACAAAGATCAAGGAAACGTGAAAGAATGAAAATTGCCTTTAGACACTAGTGAGGAATTGGGAATGATAATTAAAATTTTTTTGATTTTGATTCTTTAAGTAGATTTAACAGTAATAAAAAACACCCATTAAAGCATTGTAGCATGTACACACTAATTACAACTTGCCTTGTATGCAATTGTATAAAATTGGCCTTGTAGGTTAAAGAATAGAAGACAAAGATGTACAGGGCTGATACTGTAACTTTAAGAAGATGTGTATCTTTTTATTTCTGTATATTTTGAACAATATTTATATAACTAAATGGAATAAATATTGGAAAGTTAGATATAAAAACTCTTAAATCTGGGTGGTGGGGTTAAAGGTGACTTTTTTAATGCCCTGTTTTCCAAATTTCTTAAAATAAAAGAAAGAGCTTGATAATGAAAGAGTTCCATCTCAGTTTGTGTAGGATTTGTGTGCTTTACCTGGTTTGAGAAGGGTATTTTTCTGTCGAATTATAACAACACTAAAAGCTAACATTTGTTGAACATCTATTTAGTTCCTGCAGTCTGTCTGGAACACAGAGGTGATAACTATAAAGAATAAATTAAATCTAAAGAATAATGTACGTGCCAGGCACTTTACAGAGAATCATTACAACAACGCACCAAGAGGTAAATGTTTTTTCATAGCTGAGGAAAGGAGGCTTCCAAACACAACCAAACCTGTTGCCGTCGCGTCGATTCCAACTCATAACGACCCTGTAGGACAGAGTAGAACTGCCCCACAGGGTTTCCAAGGCTGTAAATATTTATGGAAGCTGACTGCCCATCTTTCTCATGTGGAGCGACTGGTGGATTTGAACTGCGGACCTTTCAGTTAGCAGCTGAGCACTTAACCACTGCACCAAGAAGGCTCCTTGTAAAGGAAGCTTAATTATGTTAAATTTGTTCATTTACTCAACAAATATTTGAATACCTGTTGTCTTCCAGGCCCTGCCCTCATGATGTTTACAGTCTAGAAAAGGAGACACAAAGAAAAAAAAATTAAACAAACATATAAAATACTAAGTTGCAACAAAGGAAATAAGAAGTTGAGATAGAGAATATTGGGACTTATATTAGACAGGGTGTTCAAGGAAGGCCTCTCAGAAGAGGTGATATTTACACTGATGCTTGAAAGATGAGTAATTGGGCATGGGAGGATGATGTTCCAGGCGGAGGAAACATCATGTGTGAAGACCCTGAGGCAGGAAAGAGTTGGTGTATATCAGGAACGAAGAAAAGCAGCGTGGCCACAGTCCAGGAAAGAGAAAGATCAGTTGATGGAAGGTCGACCTTGACAAGGTTGTCCAGGGCCTTGGGGTCCATGGCGAGGTTTCTTGATTTTTTTTTAAGCCAATGGGAAGCCACTGAAGGGTCTGGTGTATGTAGTAAGATGGTTACTTATCTGGCTGCCTTAGGGAGAATGGATTGGAGAAGGATAAGAGGGAAAGTGCTGGGACCAGCAAGAAGGCTTTTGAAGTCATCCTGGTGTGAGATGCTGGTGACCAGGTGGTGGCCCTGGAGGTAAAGAGAGTAACATCTTGATGTTTTAGAGATGGAATTGACAGGCATTACTGGTGGAATAGATGTGGGGGTTGGAGAGAAGGGAGGAGTCAAGGATGACCACCAGGTTTCTGGCTGGATGGTGGTGCCATTCACTAAGAAGGAAGAAAGACAAGAGTAGAGAGTCAGCTTTGTGGAAAAGTGAGGAAGCCAAGAATTTTGTTTTGGAAATGTCAAGTTTTCTCTATCCAACTGACACCAGTGGAGATGTCAAGAAGGTCAGCTGTTTCCCTGAAATCTTATATTAACGTTAATAGCTACTTGGCAATAGCTAATAAAATTACAAATGCATATATCCTCTGACTAGCAATTCAAATTCTGGAAATTTATCTTAGAAATCTACTTTGTATATGTTTGAAGTGACATATGTACAGAGTTATTTATTTGCAGAATTGATTGTAATAGCAGATAGCAAAAGATTGGAACCAAGTCAAATAGCTATTAAATTATAGTCCAAGCAATGGCATATTATGAAACTATATAAATAGGAGGAGTGCACTCTCTATGTACTTATATTTAAAAAAAAGCTGCATATTGTTAAATGAGTAAAGGAAAGTACAGAACAGTATATTTAATAGGCTATTTTTAGTGTGGGTAAAATAATATATATTCATATTTGCTTATGTTTGCGTAAAGAAACTCTTGAAGGTTAAACTGACAAAAATGGTTATCTATTGGGAGTATGAGGTGGGAGTCCAACTAAGCACAGTCTACCTTCATCCTGTTTTTAGAATTATGAGCCAGATGATTGAATCACCTACCCAAAAACTGTTAGTAGCTAACATAGACTGAACATTTGGCCAGGCAGTTTATACGCAATCTTTTCCTCACAACATCGTTTGAGATAGGTATTATATTTTACATCTTATAGATGAGGAAACTGAGACTCAGGTTAAAGGTCTCGCTTAGGGCCACACGGTGAGTAAACAACCCACTCAGTGTTTGATCACAGGCCTTTTTGGCTCCAAAGCCTTTGCTTTCTCTTTTCCCTGAGGTTGTATGTGGGGTTTTGATGCCTGATTGCTGTCCGCCAGACAACCACTTCTCCCTACAGAGCCTCATTGGGGACATTGACAATGCCATGAGAACCTTTCTCAACTACTACACCGTATGGAAGCAATTTGGGGGGCTCCCGGAATTCTACAACATTCCTCAGGGATACACGGTGGAGAAACGAGAAGGCTACCCTCTCCGGCCAGGTGAGCAGCACCTCTTGTTTCATCACCTGCCCATAGACTCTGGTTCTCCAGACCCCAAACCCTCACGTCTCTACAGGGCTCCATGCTTCACAAGTGCTCACAAGCCCTTTTTTTTTTTTTCTTCCATCTGATGTTCCCATGGACTCTGGTGGTTTTTCTGCTAGGAAGTGTTTATTCCCATATTTTCAGATAAGGAAACTGAGGCATAGTGGGTTGAAATGGCTTGCCCGAGGCTGCTAAGTGTAGTAGCTAAGATTGGAACCCAGGTCTTCTAACTAAATCATGTGCCCTCTCAAGCTTGGAGAAGTGAGTGGGAAGGAGAAGAGCCAGGTTGGCTTTTTTTGCATTCTTGCCGTTGAGATTTTAGAAATGTAAGCAAACTTCATAAGCATCGTCTTCAAGGGATCAGATAAATTGTGCTTCTATAGTATGGAATGTTTGAACTTTGGAACGAATCTTGGGAATCATCTAGTTTTAGCCACCTCCCCATTATGCTGCTCAGAAATCAAGACTCAGAGAGGGAGGAGACTGCACACTAGATACTATCTTAAATTCCTTTGCAGCTCTGATGTCCTCTGGTTCACCTCAGGAAGGTTAAAAATTGTAAGGAGGGAGAGGGGATGAGGGACAGAGGAAGGAAGCTTAGTCAGCGCAAACAGTCATCCCCTCACCCCAAAATAGGTTATGTTACCATTGTCTTAGACTCTCAACATCTTCCTACCTTACTTGCCCTTTAGCTGTGGAATAGGCCCTCCTAGTGACTTCCTCTGCCCCGTTTCCTTCCTCTTTTAACCCAAGTGATGATTGTAGGGGTCCTGGAGGGGGAAGAGAAGAGGGAGGAAGACTTTTTACTCCTTAGAGGCTGTGGCTCTTGGTGTTTCTTGTGCACTGGTTCTCATGGCATATTTTTTAAAGAGAAAACTCTCAGAGGGCATCATATCCAGTGTTACGATTACATCGGAACTAAATGTGTAAGACTTAGACTTGTGCAGTCTCGGGGTTTGAGGGAACCTGAGAAGTCTTCTAATTGAAATCCCTCTCTCATGTCCCTGTGAAGTGGTTATCCAGTCTTTGCTCAGTTACTACCAGTGACAGGAAGCTCACTACTTACAGAGGCGACCTGTTCATTTGCAGGACAGGCTGACAGGAAAGCGTCAATGGAAAGTAAGGCACCACCGCCAGGAATCCAGGAATGCCTTAGTTCAGTCACCCTTCCTACCTGAAAACAATAGTGCATGGGAAATAAGGTACTACTCTATAATTAGATTGTCCAGTGCCTTACACTCTGGTACACGTCTCTGATTAGCAGTGTTGGAGCACAAGGAGCACAAAGGCTTCTGAGGGCCTTTACCTCCTCCTAAGGCCAAATCTAAACCTTAGGCTGTCACCTTCTTTTGGAGAGTTGGCCAAATATACAGGAAAGTGAAGCATATTTAGGCCCACTGTGAGGAAGAAAAAACAAGATGGTTGGCCCTGGGTGCCCTGACCTGACCAGCTGCTAGAAGCAGAAAGGGAGGCTTCCCATGAGAGCCGTTTCTTTTCCGCCTTTGGGCACACAGTGCCCCCACTTACCAGTAAATATGCACTAATCTGTATCTTAGAATACAAGCAATTAGATTAGCAGTAGTCTAGGGGCTTGTGGGGCTAGGGGAGGGGGCAGTAGGAGAGAATTGGGGAGTCAGGCAGAGACCTTTTCCCTTAAAGTAATAAATAGACTTTGCAGTAATAAATCAGAAAGGAGAAAAGTGCTGATCAAGGCCCAGGAGGAAGCAGGAAAAGAGAAGATCAGGAGGAGAGGTTGATATAGGTAGGGGTGAGGGCTTCTTTCCTCTTTGAAAAAGGATAGGTAAAGAAGTAGGAAATTGTATTGAACTGTAACTTCACCCACTGGGGCCACCCTAGAAGTCGAACCTTTCTTTCCTATAACAGCTCTTCAGATATTTGAAGGCAATGAACCCATTTTCCTGGGAGTTTTTTTCCCAGGATAAATATTCCCTTCTAGACCAGGTCTTTTTGGCTAATATTCATCTTAAGATGGGGCCCATATCTGAACATATTCCAGTTGTGAGAATAGGGCAAGACTTGCTTTATTCTGGGCACTGTGAATTGATGACTGCATCTGTTAGATTAAGGGTTGGCTCTCGAATATTTTAACTTTCATCTTTTTGCCCGTCCCATCTCAGAAAAGACTTTACCTTTACCCAGACTCATACCCCTTTTAAGTTTTAGAATTAGCTTAGGCTGTGAGTGATGGAAAAAAATATAATAACAGCTTAATTAAAATAGAAATTTATTTTTCTCTTACGTTTTGGGTTTATATGGCTCTCCTGGTGTCAGGGATCTTCAATCTTGTTTGCTAGGCCACCTTTGGCTTAGGGGTCCTCAAGGGTCCGAGCTGGCCATTCATGATCTCTCTCTCACCTCCTGTATCCCAGAACCTCACTGCCCTTCTCTCCCTTGGGATGGGAGTCTACAGTCAACCTTAACATTGGTCTGCATTAAGCTTTGGCTTTGGTTATATTGGCTCTGAAAACTTAGCATTATGTGAGTTGTCCCATGTTCCTCCTAGTTGAAGACCTGTGGACAAGTTATGGGGGAGGAGTTATTCACTGCCTCAGGGTAGGCCCTCAGCCATCCTTGCTAAGCCACTGGATGAGTGTCTGCTTTGGACTTTGCAGAACTCATTGAGAGTGCCATGTACCTCTACCGTGCCACTGGGGATCCCACCCTCTTAGAACTTGGAAGAGATGCTGTCGAATCTATCGAAAAAATCAGCAAGGTGGAGTGCGGATTTGCAACAGTGAGTGTTTCCAGGGGCCCAGGAACTGGGCAGTGTCTCCGCCTGCTGCTAAAGAGGCCTGTTTAAGGGTAGACCCATTAGGAGTCCTGGAATACCAGCCCTGGAAGGGACCTTAGAGAAGTCATAAGTACCCTTATTTTATAGATGGGGAAACTGAAGAACCGAGAAGCTAAAGGCCTTGCTAAAGATCACATATCTAGAAGAGGTGGAGCTAGGATTTGTTCCCAGGGGTCTCTACTTCATGCCCTTGGCATTCCTCCTGTTCCAGAAATCCTTTATCTATCTGAATAGGCTGCTTGGCAAAGGTGGGTTTTGTATAAGGGCCTACAAAATGGGTTCTAAGAAGGGAAACCCAGAGCCCATAGCCCTATGTTTAAACCTAGGGACTCTGAACAGAACAGTCCAACTAATTTCACAGATATTTATTGAATGTCTTCCACGTGCCAGGCACTATGCTAGGCCTGAGGGTTATAGCAGTGATGAAAGACCAAGTACTTGCTCTCATGAAGCTTACCTTTTAGTAGAAAACACAGACAATGAGCATGTATGTGGGAGATAGCAAAAAAGACCAATGCGTCTGGAGTGGAGTGAACAAGGAGCAAAGTAGGAGGAGAGAAGGTCCGAGAGGTGAACAGGGGTCAGATTATATACGGCTTTGTAAAGAGTTTGGATTTTGTTCTGCTTGGAATCAGAAACCTTGGTAGGGCTTAAAGCTGAGGAGTGACATGATCTGATTTGTATTTTAGGAAGATCAGCTGCTCTGTGGAGAATGGATTGAAAGGGTCAAGGGTGGGAGCCATCTCACATCCTTACAGGGCCCAAGCAGGCAGATATAAATAAACAGATATAATCATTCCAGATATGTAAAAACCAGATGTGTAAGAAAATCGTCTAAAAGAAAATTTACCAAAAAGCCTACAGAGGTTGTGTTAGGGTATGAGATTGAAAAAAAACTTTTTTCAAGATTTTGTAATGTAATTATATTCTATAAGTAAAACATGAGTGCACATTTTAAAAGTAAGGACATATATGTATGGGGGAAGATAAAGCAGTACTATGTTTTAGTTTCTAATATGTTGGATTCTTTGAAAAGCCAAGCGTATAAGCCCATTGGGGACTTCTTAGGAATGCTAGATTTATTTCCATGAAAATGAAGCCCTTTGGAGGTCTTCCAAGGTGAACAGTGGAACAGACCTCTGACTTCCTTGGCTTTTGTCAAACAGGGTAAGAGAATAATAATTCTTGGTACTTCAAGTCCATATTTGAGTCACATTTTTTGGGGCAAAGTAAGTGTCCACTGAGAATTGGTTTTTACTAATTCTGAGATGCTAAAGTAAATGTTTGTAGTACGTCATCTTACTCATCTATGCCTGTAAACTCAGTATGAATTTTTCTTTAGAAGAAAACTTATTGTTTATAATAGCAAAAACAAGGTAACAACTTCAATGCCCATCAAGGGGAATTAGCTAAGTAGTCCGCGGAATACTATGTTGTCATTAAAAAGGATTAGTAGATCTGTGTTTATAGTCACAAATGGGTAAGATAAGGAGAATAGGAGATTGTCAGTATTATGTAGGGAGGTCAGGGTGTCACTGGAGCTGATAGAACAACAAATGCAAAGAACCTGAGGTGAGAGTATGCTTGGTGAACTCAAGGAACAGAGAGGCTAATATGGCTAGAGCTGCAGGAACAATCAGGAGGGTGGTAAGAGATGAGGTCAGGGAGGTAGCAGGGACCAGATCACATAGGGTGAGCTGGAATGCATAATGGGTCACGTGACCCTTTCCACTGTACTGTGATGCTGTTCTGACTTACTTCCCTCTCCCACGTGGCAGATCAAAGATCTTCGAGACCACAAGCTTGACAACCGCATGGAGTCTTTCTTTCTGGCCGAGACTGTGAAATACCTCTACCTTCTCTTTGACCCAACCAACTTCATCCACAACAACGGCTCCACCTTCGATGCTGTGATCACTCCCTATGGGGAGTGCATCCTGGGGGCTGGGGGGTACATCTTCAACACAGAAGCACACCCCATTGACCCTGCTGCCCTGCACTGTTGCCGGAGGCTGAAGGAAGAGCAGTGGGAAGTGGAAGTCTTGATGAGGGAATTCTATTCTCTCAAGCGGAACAGATCGAGATTTTGGAAAAAAACTGTGAGTTCGGGGCCATGGGAACCCCCAGCAGGGCCGGGAACATTCTCCTCTCCTGAAAACCAGGACAGGGCAAGGGAGAAGAAGCCTGTAAAGCAGAAAATCCCACTTCTTAGTTGCCCTAGTCAGCCCTTTACCTCTAAGTTGGCATTACTGGGACAGGTTTTCCTAGACTCTACATAACCACTGGATTTTTTTTTTTAAACTAAAATACAGCAATAAACAAATCTGCTTTTGTCCATTGTGTCTTTCTGTTTTACATGTTGGACTCTCTCATGAGATTTCATTAAAGAAAGGGTCCGTGGCTAAACCAATTACGAATCTAGTTTATTTTTCTCATGCCCTTGGAGAAAGAGCTAAACCCAAAGTCAGCCAGCCCCAAAGATCCCCATGGATTGATAGTTGAATCTCCCCTCCTTCCTTTCAGGATCCCTTTTCTGTTATCTTTGGGGGAAGGGGAGTGTGTTGTCATAAATATATTTCTTTGTTAATGCCTGCCCCAGCCTGTGCTTCTGCTCTTTAGTCTGTCTATCTATCCATCTATCCTTCAATGCCACAAAGATTTATTAAATTTCTTTGTGTGCCAGCTACAACCCAGAGATACAGTGAAAAAGGCACAGTTTTTATTTTCATGGGTATTAAATTCTAGCAGAGATAAATAGACCAATAAATATATAAAATAACCCTGTGATAAGTGCTATGAAGGAAATAGGGTGCTGTGCTAGAAAACAATTGGGAAAGGTAATCTACCTTAGGGTGATCAGAGAAGGCCTCTCTGAGGAAGTGGGTTTTAAATCTTTTAATTGTAGAAAATTTAAAATTATAACAGGATAGTAATTCTCCATGTACCCAACCACAACAAAATAAATCATATATGTGTGTGTGTATATATATATAAACTTCATTTTCATCTTTGAAGGATGCCAGGGAACCTACTCATTATTTTGAAAACTGGTAAACAAAGGAAAAGAATTAAGTATTTATCCTGGCTTTCCTGTATGAACTATACCATCAACCAAATATTTGATGAGGGGATGTCTTTAGAGAAGTATTCTAGCCAAACTAGAAATATCACTATTTTATAATTGGATTGTACACCCAATCTCAACAAACTCAGCTTCAAAGATGGTCGACTCATAGTCATCCTTATTTAGTTTATATCTGCACTGAATTATTCTGAAGGAAATCCCAAACATCACATCATGTCATCTAAATATTTCAGAATACATCCCCAAAACATACCTATGAAACTCAACAACTGTTCCTTAATATCTTCAAATATCCAATTAATGTTCAGACTATTTTTATTGTTTTATACCCACTGCCATCAAGTAGATTCTGACTCAGTGACTCTATAGGACAAAGCAGAACAGCACCATAGGGTTTCCAAGGCTGTAAATCTTTACGGAAGCAGACTGCCACATCTAACCACCGACCTTTTGGTTAGCAGCCAAGCCTTTAACCACTGTGCCACCAGGGCTCCTGTTGTTTTATAAATTTGTATTTTAGTTTGTTTGAATCAGGACCCAAACAGGGTTCATACATTTGCAATTAGATGATATATCTCTTAAGTCTTTCTCATTTTCATTGCAATTTGTTGAAGAAACTAGGCTGTTTGTCCTATAAAGTTTCACATATTATGGATTTTGCTAACTGTATCCCTGTGGTGGTGTTTAAAGGAGCCCTGGTGGTGCAATGGTTAAGTACTCCCCAGGAGAAAAGACCTGGCGATCTGCTCCTGTAAAGGTTGTTGTGTGCCGTCCAGTCGATTCTTACCCTATAGAACAGAGTAGAACTGCCCCTTAAGGTTTCCAAGGCTGTAATCTTTAAGGAAGCAGATTGCCCTGTCTTTCTCTCTCAGGGTGGCTGGTGGGTTTGAACTGCTGACCTTTCAGTTATCTGTGCCACCAGGGCTCATTATTTCAATGGGATTATAAAATAGTGGTATTCTAATTTGGTTAGAATACTTTTCTAAAGAAAGACATTCCCTCATTAAATATTTGGTTGATGGTATAGTTCATACAGGAAAGCCAGGATAAGTACGTAATTCTTTTCCTTTGTTTACCAGTTTTCAAAATAATGAGTAGGTTCCCTAGCATCCTCCAAAGGTGAAAATGAAGTGTTTATATATACATATACACACATATAGCTATATAATTTTATTTATTTTGTTGTTGTTGAGGATATAGACAGTCAAACATACACCAATTCAACAGTTTCTACATATACCCTTTAGTGACATAGATTACATTCTTCGAGTTGTGTAACCATTCTAACCCTCCTTTTCTGAGGGTTTGTTCCTCCTGCATTAACATAAATTCACTACCCCTTAAGGTTCCTATTTAATCTTTCAAGTTGCTGTTAATTTGATGCCATATAGATAGTTCTTAAAAGAGCATAATGCTCAAAGTAGACATTTTTGCTAGTTAAGTTAAACTATTGTTTAGTTTAAACAAGACTTCAGGGGATATTTTTGGTTTAAGCTTTAAAGATTATCTCAGGGCAGTAGTTCAGGGGTTTGTCCAACCTCTATGGCTCCAGGAAGTCTGGAGTCCATGAACATTTGAAATTCTGTTCTGCATTTTCCCCCTTTTTAACAGGATTCCTCTATGGAATCTTTGATCAAAATGTTCAGTATTGGTAGCTGGACACCATCTAGTTCTTCTGGTCTCATGGCAAAGGAGGTAGTTTTTCAGGGAGTCAATTAGCCACACATTCAATATCTTCCTCCTATTCCTGTTGTTCCAGGCAAATAGAGACCAATTATTGTGCTTTGGATGGCCACTTGCAAGCCTTAAGACCCCGGGCAGTATACATCAAACTAAAAGAACAGAGGCAGTAAACATGTTATTAGACCAATTAACTAGGATATCCCATGAAACCATGATCTTAAACCTCTAAACCAAATCCCATGAGGTATTGAATGTAGCTACTCTTTTTTTGGGGGGGTCATTGTTATAAATATATCTATCACACAACTTTTGCCAATTCCACTTTTTACAGGTGTACAACTTATTGACAGCAATTACAGCAATTGGCTGTGCAACCCTACCCTTAATCAACTTGATATTTCCATCACTGTTAACCTCCCATTCCCCCTTCCCTCCTGCCCCTGGTAACCACTAATAAACTTTGGTCTCTATACATTTGTCTTTTTATGTAAGTGAGATCATACCACTCATCCTTTTGTGATTGATTTATTTCACTCACCATAATGTCTTCAAGCCCCATCCATATTGTAGCATGTATCAAGGCTTCTCCTACTGGCTGAGTAGTATTCCATTGTATGTTTGTACCACTTTTTTTTATCCATTCATCTGCTGATGAGTGTTTAGGTTGTTTCCACCTTTTGGCTGTTGTGAATAGTGCTGCAGTGAATATCGGTGTAAAAGTCTCTGTTTTAGTCTCTGCTTTCAAGTTTTTTGCATATATACCTAGAAGTGAAATTGCTGGATCATATGGTAGTTCTATTTTTAGTTTTTTGAGGAACTGCCACACTGTTTTCCATGATGGCTGTACCATTTTGCATTCCCACCAGCAATGGGTAAGGGTTCCAATTTCCCCACATCCTCACCAGTATTTGTGGTTTTCTGTTTTTTTATCTTCGCCATCCTACAAAACAACAAAACCCCCATTGCTGTCAACTCCATTCCGACTCACAGTGACTCAATAGCACAGAGTAGAACTGCTGCATAGGGTTTCCAAGGCTGTAAATCTTTACGGAAGCAGACTGCCACCTTTCTCCAGTGGAGCGGCTGGTGGATTCAAACTGCCCACCTTTTGGTTAACAGCTGAGCACTTTAACCACTGTGCCACCAGGGCTTCTTTAACTATCCTAATGGAGTGAAATAGTATCTCATTGTGGTTTTGATCTGTATCTTTCTGATGCCTAATGACATTGACCATCTTTTCATATGTTTGGTGGCCATTTGAATGCCCTCTGTGGTGAAATGGCTATTCAAGTCCTTTGCCCATTTTATGATTGGGTTATTTGTGTTGTTGTTGTGTTTTTTTTTTTTGTTAAGTTGCCAGAGTTTTACATTATATTTTGGTTATTAGGTTTTTGTCAGGTATATGCTTTCCAAAGATATTCTTCCAGTCAGTAGCTTGTCTTTTTACTTTTTTTGGTAAAGTCTTTTTTTTTATTGTACTTTAGATGAAGGTTTACGGAACAAATAGTTTCTCATTAAACAGTCAATACACATATTGTTTCATGATATTGGTTAACAACCCCATGACATGTCAACACTCTCCCTTCTCGACCCTGGAGGAACTTTTTTTTTTGGTGAAAATATACATAGCCAAAGTTACACCATTTCAAGTTTCTACATGTACAATTCAGTGATATCGATTACATTCTTCCAGTTGTGCTGCTATTCTCACTATCCTTTTCCAAATTATTCCATCACCATTATCTTCAACTCACTG